TTGAGTCAATCAAATATCAGTCCAAATGATAAATGCACGCGATTGAAATTTCTAAGGAACGAGACATGCGCCATTAGTGGCTTAATTTTCTAATGGTCAGACGTATATGTATATAAACGAGTGTACATGCATTCCCGATTCGGTTTAGCTAATAAACATCCGTTCTCACCTTTGTATTTTCACTCGAGTAGCCCGCTGAGTTAGTGTGTAGGAATATTGCTTATCAGTATCGAAAGTGGAAACCGAACAATACAACAAAAACACGTTTTAGAGATATATTAGTATAACGAAAAATGTTTACTTTTGATAACTTCCAATCTGTGTTCAGCTGTCATTTCTTTGTAAACTGTTAGTGTATACATGAATATAGCACTGTAGGATTTCAGTGTCGTTTAGCAATATTTCTATGTTAAAATAGTGTAATCCTTCAACTTAAGAAACCTATTTCAGTTTTCTTTAGAAAAAGTCTAAATTTTTCTTTCTTTTCACGTTCTACGCGAGTCTTCCTATTAAATAGTTGGTTTTCACATCATCTTTTTTATTCTCGATAACTTTACGTTGGTAAGCAATACTGTCCGAAGCGTAAGTTGATTGCTGAGTTCCCAGAATCCAATTCTAAACAAGAAACGGGTCTGAACTATTCATCATAAAGGAAATGATTAACACTGGTTACAAACTAATAACGTGTCATTATTTTTTACTGGATAACGTTTGTGAAGTTTTGTCTTACCTGACTTAAATAGAATAATTTCTTTCTATGTTTATACGACTGCCGAAATGAGTGTGTAACCAATCGAACGTTAGTATTTATAATGGATTTATTAAATGCTTGATTGCCCGAGGATTATTATTTTATGAATTATATCTGTTCCAATTAACCTTATATAGACCATAGAACAAAAAGTTATTTGCCACTGGCTAACCAAATGCTTTTTTCAGTTTTGTTACCACTTTTGACCTTATTGACTTTCGTAGGCTACTTGATGGACAAGAATTTATGAAGTACGTAAAAATGCCCAGTCATATGGTTTAACATAACCTAGCTTCTCTCCCAATCTTTTTGTCGTCGTGTCAAAGAGTGCGTCGTCCATACAGTGTGTTTCTAATTAGTCAGTCGATCAAGATTAAATCGTATTTGTCAGACTATAACGTAGACTTAATTGAAATCCAATATCACGCTCTAGCAACCCAATGAATAGAAATACTTACTTACATTATACCTAAGATGTATTGATTGTTTTCTTGTTTAACTCATTCTAAAAGAGAATGTCAACTTACTGAAATTTATTTGATACCTTTTTATTTTTCTTAAAATTGTTGTTTAACGTACGCATTTTTTTCAGAGATTTAGCTACATTGGGAACTAATCAGTCAGATGGTTGTTAGAGATGCAGCTAATTTGAGAGTAACTGTTATAACTTGAGAATCCCCGTCACAAATATCGACTTGGGAGTATTATAAGTCACATGACTACAGTCACTTGTCTGTTTGTTTGCTTAAGGACTAGATATCGAAAAGAAGTGCGTCGATATAAAGTAGGATAAAATTCTTTACGATTCGAAAATAGTCAATCTTGTGCAGTCCATAAATTGTATCCCTTTTTCCTTTCAGTGGTCAATCATAGTCTGTATTATCTAAATAAATCAGTAACTTTTGTTTTTGATATATTCGAAATTATGTGGAAGCAGCTGTCGTATACCATTTTGTTTTCAGTAGCTCTCTAGCAAATGTTGGTCCGTGAACTATTTTCGTGTCTTTCCATGTAGTGATGTATTGTAAATGTTTCATTATTTGAAGTAGTATTTGCTTTTATTTTTATTCAGGATAGTATCCCAGGCGCTGGACCTATCGTTGTACACTGTAGTGCAGGTATTGGACGTACTGGAGCATTTATTGTAATCGATATGCTCATAAATTATATCAAAACAATGGGCCTTAATTGTGACATAGATATTTCCCGTACAATCCAAGCAGTTCGTGAACAACGTTCTGGGATGGTGCAAACTGAAACTCAGTATAGATTCATTTATAAAGCTGTTCAGCAATATGTAAATACAATGTCCAAGCGTATACAAATGGATAATGTGAGTATTTTCATTTTCAATTAAAAATCGAAACATGTTAATACCATAGTTTACATACAGTGATCATTTCTCGAATTTTTCTCGATGGCAGTATGGATGAACATCCATGCACTCACTGTCAACTGTCTCACATATTTCTAAGAATTTTTTTGAAAATTTAATACTTCTAATTATTCATTTTACTAAATAAACCAAAAGAATATTTCCGCTATTTGATGAACACAGAAAAAACGTCTGTTATTATATTCCAGCACTAAATTTTCAGATAATTAAAACAACCCATTGTTTCATTGAATAAAAATAAACGGAATTCAGCGAAGAGAATTTTCTTTTCGACGAAATCATTTACTTAAGCTGCAACTTATATTCGTCCTTGTATTCTTCTCTTACTACTTGATTATTGCGTAACCTGATTTGATAATAAGTCTCTAATCTCTTTATGACGCAATCTTTTCTATCATTCTATAGACATATACCTACCACACAACTATAAATACGAATGTACAGCTTAGTTAAATGATTTTGTCGAAAAAATTCTCACTGAATACTCTTTGTTTTTATTCACTGGATTGCCAGTTTTATTTCCTAGTGAAAACCAATTTCTTAATAATAAACGCTGTCTTAAAAACCTTGTGATTATAAATATCTGTTACTTTGATTTCGAAATGCTCATAGGATCTTCGCCGTACTGGAAGAGACTACACTAATATCAATCGTGCTGCTGATGATATTGGTGTAATTGGAACATCAGCTGTCAATATATTTCCAACGGTTTGTTCATCATTGGGTTTCAACTCCCATGAACAACAAAGTGTGACATCAAACTTTATTCCTGGAGCAAGTATCAACACACCCTCAGTTACTGGATCTTCTGTGCCTGCTTCAAACAAGCAATGCAATTGTCCTATTCACTCTTGTTCTCAGCGGCAATCAACATCAAACCATAATATATCTCAAGCTTCCATTGGCCCCACCAACTGTTCACAAACTGCTGTTTCATGCACAACATTGCCCTGCACTGCTCCAGTTGTGTCCGTTTCGCCTCGCAATGCGGATTCTGTAACTGGGGGCTTCTTCCATCGACTGACTGCACCAAGTCGTCCCCGTACGAAGTCATGACACTTTTTGAAGACATTTTATCCGATTAATTTAATGTGAGTTTTTGTTGGAATTTCATCAGGAAATATAATATTTATTTATTTTATATTGTGAAATGTATGAAACCATAAACTTTTAAAGAACTATCATTTCAACTGCCACACCACATGTTGTTAATTGTGTATTTATGTTCGTTTAGTGTCCCGCGATCTGATTCCATATGATCGAGTAATATTGATTCTAATGAAATTTATATCTTTTTTATATATATTAAGTCGACGTATCCTGTCGATAACAACATGGATATGAGAAGTCCATTACAAAGGTATTTGAGGAACATATATTCCAAGCATAATTTAGACAAGCGATAAGAGACGAGAAGAAATACACGTGAACTGAAGTGGGAAAAATAACCAGCTCTGTGAGCACTAGGTGACCTAGTCTTCATGAACATGAACTCAACATAAGTATACAGATATATACACAATACCATACACACATGTACAAAACATGTTCAAGGTTAAATGTGAGTAATTGACCAGGTCTGACAAATAAAAAGATAAGAATGATTTATCTGCCCAAAAGTTGCAAAAAATCACGTAAACGTGTAATAACGTCGAATTGCTACAATCAATTTCTGGACATAACTCTTCTCGTCTTAATCTTCCAAGGGTTGACCTCCAAACAAAAGACTGTCATTAACGTAGAGTAAAAAGAGTAAATATTTCTTAATTATGAAGGTGTCAATAAAGTGAAATTTTCTGAACGCTTCGAGTTATAACGAAAGGATTGTCTTTCTTATGTATTCCACCACAGCTCCATTTCTTCTCATCATAGTTACGTCTACTTTATGAGCCTCATCTGCTCAACATATCGGAATGGATGTTTGAATTGATTTTATTGAAAATATATTAAAGCTGTCTAATAAATAGATGACATATATTTGCAGAAACTTTCAATTCAAGCTATTAATTTTGCACATAAATTGTAAATCGTTGGGACTTGAGAAGTATTAGGAGTAGTTGATTTTATATATTAATCGTATTTTGTTTTCTAAAGAATTTATCAAACTTCACTTAAACTTTTGTCGACCCTAGTTATCATTTGCAAATCAATAAATATTACAAGAGTTTCTTCCCATTTCCTAATCTAAAGATATGTCAAGATATTGTATGTATTGCTTTAACTATTCATGGGATTATATATATATATATATATATTTGTGCAAACAAATTTTATTGTATAATAGCCAACGTTTTGTTTGCACTGTCTACTTTTACTATTTTATTCTCTGTTACTGTAGGTAAAGAAGCATTAGTGATATCTGAAATGTATGTAATTGTACTCATTTATTACATGTATGACTTTAAACAGATTTTGTTTATTTAGAAATCATCACAAAAAATTATTGGTTTTTTTTTCCTTTATCACCGAATTATCAGTAGTAATCTTATTTGAATAATAAACCATTGAAATCTATATTTTGTTAAAATGCTGTATACAATGATAGTATGAATATGTAAATGGTATTATCAATACTGAGTTGTTTAATTTTTGTTATTATTTACCAATTATGTTAGTTGGTTTTTAATTCTAATAATGCTCCAAATGTTTGTTGAAATGAAAAATTATCTCTTATTATATACTTGCACAAATACTGTTTTCATTCAATGAAATAAATTTTATTATTTTTTTTGACTTATCTTTTTTTCTTCTTCTTTTGAATAACAATTTTTGTGTAAAACTCTAAGTAAAACGTTGATAATTTACCTTTAAACGATACAGTTTACAATTTACTATAATAATGTAAATTCTCTCTTTTACTCTTGGTATATGAAAAGTGTTTTAGTCGTTCCTAGATTTAATTGCTTTTAAATAAAGTTTTTAAAAAAATGAAATTCGACTGTTTTTTTTTTGAAAAATTATTTACATTTTTCACTTTATCATTCACGGGAAGGAATCCATTCATAATGTTTGTATCAGATTACACAGTTCTCGTATTAATGTTTTTTTGGATAATGTGATAATTATGTTTTACTTGTATTCTTATTATTTTTACTGTGTGAAATTATTGTTCACTCGATTTAAAAGAAAATTAATTAAATTTACGATTTATAATGCAAGCGTTTTTATTTAGTAAAACGGGTCGGTAGCTCCTGCAATTTTTAATAAAAAAAGTTTCTTTTTAGTGATTATATGAGTTAACAATGATGTATATCTTATCTGTTCAAAGATTGTGTCTCAAATCAGAAAATAAGTTGTTGCACAGCGTATATAATATTATGTCATAGTGAGAGTGGCATTTCGTTTGGGGTAGAAGGGTTTGAGGGTTAGCAATTATCAAAGGAGATTTCATAGCATCATCAAGGCCCCCAAATGGCCTGGTATGGCCGAGAGTGGGGAGGGCCCGCCCTTCCTATTGAAATGCTCTCACATGGCCACGCGTATACAGCCTGTGCCAGGGAAGTTCTACTCACTGCCTTCTTGTGGCGGGGATGTTGTTCACGAAAATGAGGGGACGAAAAGCGAATGTCCGACGCTTTAACTGGATTCCAAAACAATGGTGCACATAGGCTCCAGCACCCTGCGGGAATAAATGGTGTATGAACCGATTGTTGGTCACCAGCTACCATGGGACTGCATCTCCTCACAATGCTCCACTGCCTTGTGGATCAGACCTTGAGGTCGAAGGCTCGTGGAGTGGCCCCCCAAAAAATCACCTGCTTCGGTTTGGGCACCCGAGCAGTATCACAGCCCACACACAAATAATATGAAAATGACGATATTTACTGAAAATTCGATTAACAGTCAAACAAGTCACATTATTTTTATTTATCACGTCACTTATCCCCACTTTGGAAAGTGTGGCGCATATATATTTGGTGCCCCCTTGTATCAATATTAATGTGTTCAAATAAATAAATACAAGACGTTCTTGAAAGCAGGCGATAAAACACATGCATAGACTGTTTGATGTAAAGAGACAACTCACTGATCCAAAGACTACGATTTTAGTTAGCCACATATAAAAAATAAACAATAAATCCCGGTTGATATCACAGAGCGAAACAGTTGGAATAACTGAATCTCACTTCAAAATGAACGAAACAGACTGACAAATCATCAAGCAAGCGACTATTTTTAGATGACTGAAGTCCATAGTGTGGTCTCATTTGTGCCCATCTAACTTACGTTAAACTGATTGACATGTACCTAATGTTATGATGATTTGTGTAGTTTGATTGGTTTCAAAACATTGAAGAATGGGAGGTAGCATAAGTAAGAGTGTGGTGAATCAAGCTGGAATAAGTAGATTGACGACTAGTGCACATCGATACTTTAACGATGACGACGGTAGACGAATAAGAGAGAATACGGAAATTTCCAAGTGAGATTTTATGTCTTTCGACTTTAAGATTTACAAATGATTTTTGAATAGTCTCTCTTTAGTACCAAAGTCTCTTGACTATTCGGCTGAAACTGTTATCGTTTCCTATTATGCAAAATTATTAGTCAACTAGCCAAAGATCATTACTACATATCCGCTTTCTGTGTTATTTTCATTATCTATAACATAAGATTTAAATAGTACTGTTCAGTAATGGCTTTGTACACTGTTGTTTTTTCTGTTCAGAAATTTACATAACTTAGATACATTGTAAACCATGTCAGCTGACAATACACTAAAATACTAACAATGCTGCTCCAAGTATTTATCTGGAATGAAAGCAATGTTCATACATGTTATCGTAGTTGAACTCAAGTACTTTTTTGTTTCATGCCCAAATAAGTATTTAGAAAGTGACATAGGACATTAATCGTATCTTTCTATTGACAACATCCGTTAACCATCTCTCGGAAAATCTGCTCTTTCCTGGACTAGGAGACAAATATATCAAAAAAGTAAAACAGAAAATAAAGTTTAAAAACAGCAGTGTTGTAAATATAGGGATATAAATAAGTTTTCATTGTAAACGAAGGATAGTGAGTGTTTCCATGCTCATTAGGAGCCAGATATGTACAATATTTTGAAATTAAAGCCCTCTTCAACAAATGGTAAACTCAGAATGGAAATAAATGCTTTTTCCAAATCTTAGGACAGTTACTTGTCAAATTCGTGCTAGTAACTTATAGGGCATATCTGAAGTATTTGTTAGCGAAGGAATTTTACTTCAAAGGAAAATTAATTTAGCAACGTGTACAGATTTTTATAACAATATAAGTTAATCACTCTCCCAGTATCTAGAGTTTCCTTAAGAATCTACACATTAGTGTAATCATGTTAGGCATTTTTATTAATTAGAAACAGACTTATAGGATGTGTTTCGATTATGGTCAGTGTTATGATGTTGGTCAATATGGTACAAATATATTTATTTCAAACTTTTACTAATGCTACTAAAGTATTACCAGTCTTCAGCTAAAATACTAGTGGTATTTAACGTCAGTGAAAAACAAGTTATTCTCCCTTGTTTACTGATATGACATTAAATAATGTGAAAAGTCAAAAATTTCCAATAAAAATTATCATCTTTTTGTCATACCCTATGTTGTTTGATTTTAGTTAATTATTTATTATTTCAATGGTTAAGATCATGAGTCAGTTGAAGCTAGACCACCATGGAAAACCTGAAAGCACTGAACGGCGGTTTCGTCCTATTATTAAAATAATATCCATTGAATTAGCAAGATTAACTTACATTTGTATTGAGCGGAATGTTTCGACTTGATAATAGACAAGTATAGCTGAATTCTGTTAATTTTTTAAACAAATTGATTTTAAAATGAAAAGAATTATAAGTTTAATTAGAAACATGTCAAATTATGTCTGGGATAATTTTTCCTGTAAAACTCACTATCAACTACAAATTAGAACGAAATTCTACTGAAGCTTGATTCTTCTACATTTTGACCAGATAATTAAATACACTTACGTGAATTTACTTGTGAACTGTGTTGGTGATGTATACTAAGTATTCCATTGGAAAGACCTGAAGGTTGTAGGTTTGATTCTTCTTTAGGTCATAGTTCCCTAGCATTGAGAAGGCCCACACTAGGACGAAGTAACTGTGCAGTAGTAGCTGGTTTTCATTGATTTTCTAACCAAAGTCAGTCCGCAATAAAAAAAACTTCGAAAACAATCTTGTTGGGTTTAATTAATTCTTCATTAATGGGAGTTTACTATTTTTACAGACTGGTCAATTATTCATGTCCAATGTGGAATCTCGTATATGCTTCATTACAAGTTGCCACACTACAACATACCAAGATATCAGTGTAGTGTAAGTAGCAACAGTGATAGAGTTCATAGAAAAGCTTGAGTATAGAAGATACGGTTCATACGGTAAATGTGGTCTTTTGGAATAGAGAATAAAGTAAGGCAACTTGGAAAACAAAGTGTAAGTGTACCTTTACAGCTCAGAGATATGTCATCCAACTTTTAACCGTTTGTTACGATAAACGAGCTAACCTCAACTAAGTATATTTAAACTACCAAAAAGATCAGTTAAACGTTGGTGACATCAAGATATTCTTTTCCGTTGTTATTTTTAATTAACTTATGAATCAACTCAATCTTTTTCACAACGTACTTATTGGTATACGTAATATGATTCAGATTATACTATTTGAATTACTAACTGTTAATCTTACATAGAGTTATACTTATAATTTATGCTTATAAGAGACAAATAATCAGAAAATGAGGTTTCATGATATCATCGTTTTTTGATAGTATCTGGAGTTCTGGATGATAATTATGACTTCTCAGTACCTAATCAAAAAGATAGCTACTTCAGGTGTACAGTCAATATTTTGAAGTCAGCTTTTGATCCTGTTGTTCTCAGTTAATATCATATACGGAATTGATTGCAAAATAAAACGGTTTCATAAAAGATCACGTATATTGGTTTCTGTACAAATATCCTTATTGAATATCAGTTTTAAGTTGTTTATTTTTTTCAATTACTAGAATAAGATAAACTTAATTTTTGTCATCAATAGGTAGGTGAGTATTATAAACGAAAATATAAATTCATTGTATTGAGTGTTAACAATGTCTTTTTTAAAAAATGACGGAACATTTAAACTCATAAAAACGTTTAGAAGTAACAAATCATTATGGCATAAAAACCATCCAATCTCACAGATGGGTTTGTTATATCATTCTTGACATAATTAAACTCTAAATTAACTTATTTTGAAAAAAAAATTAGGAGCGTTTTCAACTTTTTCTCACTGTCTTAATGTGGGAAAAACTGAGGAAACAGGTACGTTTATCTAGAAATAAAATAAACTATTAAAATATTATTTGGGAATCCGGAAGTGTTTTACTCCACATGAATATTCATAATGTTCAACATTTACGCCATATATATATATATACTCATCTGCTTACCTTTGGCTTTATCCGAGATATTCGTAGCGTGAAGTAAACCGATACCGTAGATTTTGGTATGGGTGAACGCCTAGATGGTAGACTAAATTTCACTCGATATTTATGAAGCGTTTCATTCTTTAGTTCCACGATTGGCAAAATATCAACGCAGTAAAGCCACTTATCACTTATTTCCCAACACTGAAAGTACAAATGCGAACAATTGTTTATAAAGCTGCAATTTTTATAACAAAATAGACAGGTGTTCTAGAGACATTTTGACCATTTAAGAGTGCAATCTTATAAGCGGTGTTTCTCAAGCCTAGTTTGTTTCATAACTGAAACCATCAGCTTATAACTATCATGGTACTTCGCACTTTGTAAAATGGAACCAGGCAATTGTAATAGAAATTCAGCTTCAGTCACGATATATCCCCTTCATTAAATAATGTAGTGTCCAGTCATTATTGGAGCACTTTATTCCAAACGCAAATGTATATGACAATCTAAGACTTTTTAACTTACCCTTTATCAAGGTTGGATTCGAAAAAGAAACATGAATATAAGATACATCATTGCAATAGTTCTAATAATTGGTCCTCATTAACTAACATAATAACACTCTTGATTGCATATATGATTTTGCAGATAGTGAAATCATATGCACATCCTTTGTTTCAAAATGTTTCAATGAATAAATAATATATAGTCAATTTAGACTCGTTATCTCCATCTTGTAAATTAACAAAAATACTATAGAAGCCATTGCAATCTGAATGATATTCCTCATGTTCGAAGCATTCAGTACGTCTAAATATTGTATATAAACACAAAACCTCCCACAGATATAACCGTGGCGATTTAGATTTAAAATTATCACCTTTGATCTCTAACAAATATATTACTCAATCATTACCTTTACATATTTCTCAATTTTTTCCAGTCCTAATTTTGGTGTAAATTCTTCAATAGTAGGCCATTGTATATTAGGAATTGGTAAAGGTTTATCTGATAAGATAATTTCATCATTGATTTCATATGAACTTTCATTGGGATATAATTTTTCCAAATCATAGTAATTATAATCCGTTGGGTTGATTTCATATGGACTTTCGGAATTCTCAGGTTTCATACTTTTACATTATTTAAAAATGATGAAATATATTAAATGGTATTATAAATAATTGTGATTTTAAAAAAACTTTGGTTTTTTGTTTTTCAATCTGTACAATAAAACATACCTTTTTTGTTTCTTGAGTGATTCAAGCTTAAAATTAAATGAACAGAAATTATATAATCAAAAACTTTACTGATTGAAATCATGAGCCAATTGAAGCTAGACCACCATGGAAGCACTGGACGGCACTTTTGTCCTAGCATGGGACTCCTCAGCAGTTCGCGGGGTGCGGGATCGTGGATGAGCACTACTGAGGAGTCCCATGCTAGGACAAAAGTGCCGTCCAGTGCTTCCATGGTGGTCTAGCTTCAATTGACTCATGATTTCAATCTGTGAAATTTCTAGAATTTCCACAAAATTCCTTCTGATAATCAAAAACTTAAAGAATATTTATCTGAAGCCATGTTTTGCTCATTCAAAAGTCGAAGACTAACAGTTGCATTCGAACTCACACAGTAAGGAATTGTCTTCTGGACGTTTTTTTATAATCATCACAAGTGTAAATAACTATTTTATTTATTGAATATAGTGTAGGCATAAACTTTTTACATTTATTGACAACATTAATCATATTTGAATTTTGTATTCAACACTTTGAACGATAAATTTATGATAATCATCTTTTAGTCACTAATTTTTTAGGACTTTCGATTTCCATTTTTGAATTAAATTTTAGGAAAGATAATTCTTTCCTGGAGTATGAATCCGTTATAGCTCATTTTTGAAGCACCCAGTGATAGATTTAAAGCATCTTAGGAACCATGTACTTTGATCTTATCAGTCATTAGCAGAGCTGAATTTCAAAAGAAGAAAGGGTAATTTGACCAAGAAAATTTTCTGTGCGTCTACATCACTTACTAAAGCTAATAAGTAGTATGTATGGTTACTTACTACTTAGAGATATTCTTCACAGGATTACACGAATGAGGTCAAGTTAGAATACAAATCTAAACCATGTCGAATTCAGAGTGTATAGCAATTCAGCTATTCAATCGTGAACTCTATATGCAAAACTTGTATATTCAGCCTGTCTTTCTACTATGCACTTAATTTGGTGCTAATTTTTATTGCTTAACATACAGGGGTTGTCATCACTTTCAAGTATTTCTTTTCTCCTTCGTGTATTTTTTCATGTTTATCAAGTGGACAGATACCGCTCATGATTCTCATCTTTCAGATATTTTCAATGCACTAATTTTTATTAACTTTAAGTACATTATACAACTTTCATTTGATATTTCAAACTATTAATTGCCCAAATTATATATTTGTAGTAACTAGATAAATTCGGAATAATTATATCCTATATGTTTGCCTTTCATTTTGATAAATCTTATTTCGACATTTAGTTTTCTACATTTGAATACAGAAATCCGTTCAAATAGATAGATACCTTATTTAGAATTAAACTCTTGTCCAATACACGTAAAGTTTCATTGAGAAAGATCAGTAATTTATTCATATAACTCTGAGTGGAATGAATCTAAATAGTTTGCATTAATTCAAGTACAAAAAACGGTAATATACAGATTCATTTGACTTATATGTTACTTTCAGTTATCAGTTTATATGTATTATACGTGGGAATTTGTCACAATTTTTGTGATTAACTTGGTCGAAACTAAGTAAAATATGCTACTAACTTGTTCAGAATTAACTCACATAATTTATTGAGGAGTTTATGAATACCCGAGAAATTGCTAAATTTTTATTGAATCCGTAGAAAAAGAGTACTTTATGTAATTAAATGAATATTCAACTTCATGAATAATTAGATGACGGTAAATTTAGGTAGTTTTTCTCTCTTTTTCTTCCTATTATATCAGGGCAGCTAATAAGATATACAAGGTGGGTTCGAAAGCCAAGATACCCATAGCATACTCATTTTCACATCAAGTCATTGACTCTTAGAAACTAGTACTCGAAGAAGTGATTTCCATACCTTCAGTTGACTCATTTAAGAGAAAACTACACATTCATAGAGGCTTACTAAGAAAGAACTTAAAAAGACAATTGGTTTTCTGTCGACCGTATGAAAATTTGAATATTATAATCCACTTGTTCCATATTTCATCAAGCTATTCAAAAAAAGAATTTATTCAAAGGACAAAATATTTAAATAAAAAATCCAGATTACTTACCTTAGTTTATTAAGTAGATCTTTTTCATAGACACGATATAATGATGACTGTATTATTGATGTTATTAGATTACGTATCATTTCTGGAGATTCATCTGATTTCCCTTGACTAAAATGTTTGTAGGAATGACAAAAAGGATACTCAAAATCACATCTAAGTTCCTAAAAACTAAAATATATTGTAGGAATCATTGGAAACTCCGAATACATGTTAACATCATTTAAAAAAGTTTCTCAAGTTTCTTATATATTTATATAAATTCAAAATATTGAATCTTTGTCGTTCATTTTTAACATGTGGTGGAAGTCAAATATTATTTTTTTATTATTACAAATGTTTTCCAAAATTGTTTTGTGTAGTAACAGTGATTTTCTTTAAAACCTTTATTGAAATCATGAACTGATCTAATCGAGAACATCACTGAAACCTTAGAAGCAATGGACAACCATTCCATCCTAGTATGAGACTTTTCAGAAGTACGCATCCATAGCTGTCCAGTGCTTCCAGGTCTTCAATGGCGGTCTCAATTAGATCGGTTCAATAAAACTCAAAAATCCTTACTACCTCATGCTGGTAATTGTCTTTTTCTCACTAGTGACTGGTTTTGAGAGGAAATGCTCAAAGTTCTAGTGAGAAGCCGTAACTAGTAGGACTAATCGGTGTCAGGCGTGAGACAGTTACCCACCGAAGATAATAAAAGATGGTCATGCAATATCGTGGAATAATTAGAGTTAGACAATAACACCGGTGAATACCGACTCAGTGGTCTAAAGACTAAACATTCACGTGCGAGACCGAAGGTTCTAGGTTTTATTCCCGGTTGCGTGGTCGTGGATGAGCACTTCTGAGGACTCCCGTGCTAGGAAGAAACGGCTTTTCAGTGCTTCCAAGTTTTCATTGGTGATCTAACATCAATCGGTTCATAATTTCAACCAAACTCAACAATTTCTACAACCCTGTACTGTTGTGATATATGTCCCATTTCTACGTGTTGCGCATCACTGGCACACAAAAGTAACTACATTTTAAACTAAATATGTTTATTTGTATAAAAGCTTCAATATAAATACTCGCAACTATGTATCTGAAACTAAATTACAGTAATTGACATTATTTGACATTATGATAGACTTGAAAATAATCAGAAAACTTAAATAAAAACAAACAAACTTACCCTATTGTTGCACCATGCTGTTGAGTATTTTCAGAATTTCCATGATTTATGTCAACTTTCGAAGAATCACTGTTTAACTTTTGTACATAGTCGATAGATCTCTGAATAATTGAATCCACTACTGATATTATCGTTTCCATGTATTCACTTGAATTTTCATTGGTATTCTTCACTATTAGTTTTCTATTTGCATCCTTAATTATAAAAAAATTATTCTCTACAAGACTGTAGTCTTCATAGAATCATAAACACATTGTCATTCATTTGGAAAAAAGGGGTTTAATTTTATTCAACCAGTGGATAATATACAAAGTATATAACAGTATACTGTAAACTCAATCATGTGTCATCACTTGTCAGTCAACAAACATTCAACTTTTTACCTACGAAAAGATTAACAAGAGTAAAAATAAACCATCTCTTATTTGATTAATTTATTTTTCAATATAATATTACAATTCATTTGTGTTGCTATCTAGTTAAAGGTCATTGCGAAACAGGATTGATAATACTCTTATAATAAGTGAGGTTTTCTAATAAATTTTCATGTAATTTTAACAGTTAAAATAAGGCAATACAACCAACTGTTAATTGACTGATTATTCATTATTTTTTTCCCGCAATTTTCCATCTTCACTTAGTTGACCCTTCTTTTTTGAAACCTGAAAATATTGTAAGTATTTTAATTACCCCATTTATAATTAATAATAATTCACATTTTACGAATATTATAGAGTTTTACAAAACGTAATGGGAAAAACAGAAACATGATCCATAAATTTTAAAAACATAGTTCTTTATTAAAGTCTACAAAAACAAGACCTATAGTAATTTTCGTTTAAGTTTGAATGAATAAGTTCAAAACAGTTTGACACCAAGTCTATAGAAGGTAATTAAAAATAAATTGAAATAAGGTATTCGTTCACAAGTTTGTAGCACATTCATTTTTCAACGATCAATATATATATATATATATATATATATATATATATATATATATATATAGCACCAAGCATTTTCGGACATTTTACATTTACTTAGTGCGTTAACGCTGCATTTAAGAGCATTATTTTCACTGATAATTTTATTTCCAGCTCCAATGTTTACAATATTTATTGCCTTTATCCAACAAGTTAGTATGCGCTATAATGGGATGTTCATAAAGAACATAAGTAGATCGATTAAGATGATTGAAATGAAGTGCCGAGTGATAACTATGTTCTTATTTGTAATACTCACATAATAAATAAATAGGAAAATAGTCGAAAATACTAGATACCTGACTTTTCTCAAACATTGAAAAAGTAAGTGATAACCTCGCAAAAATAAATTATATATATATATATATATATATATATATATATATATAATTCCGAATTTTCACTAGTCAAACTGGTCTGAGCTTTTTTGTGGAGATGCTCGAAGTTATTTTTAATTCGAATTGCTGAAATTTTTTACAAATATAGTTCTTCGTATGAATAAATTAGTTGAAGTTTTAATTTTTGAAGTATGCAGCATATAACAGTGAAACCAAATGAATATTTGCTTTCTAAGTAGGAAATAACTAAATTCAGAAATAACAACTGTAAAGATTATGGTAATATTTGTTATGTGTTAAAAGGAAATTTCGCATTTTCAGTGATAAGTATGCAACTAATATCACATAGTTTACTCAATTGTTTTTTACAAATATATTTGGAGTCATAGGTACTTACCTTAATAAGTCTGAAATTTTTATTTATTAAAAATTTGTTCAGTCTGTTTCCATATCCATATCTTAAACATAATGGTAACCAATACTTGAGTATTACAAATAATCTAATATACACTGTCCTTTACCGATACTTTTTTCTTAAGTTTTCCGTTTTCATTTTGTTGTTTCATGACTGTAACATTGTTTTTATGCTAATAAAACTGTATATAACATTCGGATATTTTTCGAAACCTTTTTTTGCAAATTTTCTCACACTATATTATGCAATCTATCAATTCTATAATTAAATGTATCATTTCATTCATTTATTAAATGATACTTTCGAATATTATTCACTTTATCCATTCAATCTTTCAATTACTTAATCAATCATTTGCAATTATTTTTGTGATAATGTTCGAATTCGTAATATTATTATGTAACACATTACCACAGATATAGGTTCGACTTCATTATTATTTTCATTCAATTCACGAATCGATCAAATCGAAAATATCATTGGAAACCTGGAGGTACTGGGCTGCCTTTACATTCTATTATTATTATTATTATTATTATTATCTCTTTGTCTCTTCCATCTTTTTTAAAATAAATGCTGGGAATCAGTTTGGTAGATCATTTGACTGAAACATACTTTCAACTGTAAATGATTGTTAACAACGTGTTTTGTTTATTTAACTCATACCCAAGTTAGAAAAAACGTCATTAGCGTAAAATATGGCGTAAACGTGTGTGTAGATTTGCACTATCAAACATGAAATAAGTAAATTTCAAAAACACTACCAAAAAGAAAAGTGAAAGAATGCTCATAGTACTAGGAAAGCTAAAAATTAGAACAAAGATCAAACAATATAACTAAAGAGATCATTTTCGATTGTTACTGTCTCAAACTACATACCACAGCTTTTTCACAAGCCTCGACAAGAATCCTACTTAAGATGGGTAGTCAAATTCAAATTATATTTCATCACTATAACAAACACGTGCTTACTAAAGACTAGTTTTGCGAAGAAATGGTGAAATTCTAGTGAGAAGCCATGATAAACATAGTTCAGTCATGTGTTTAATGAAAAAAATATATATAGCTGATTCCGCAGATAGATGGTCGTCAGTCGACTGAAGCAGAGAATTTTAACCATCGAATACGAATTCTGCAACATAGCAGTGCCGTACTCATCTTAACGTTCTGAGTTTGATTCATTAGGAAGCTTTCCATGGGGATTGCTGAAGAGTCCGAAATTATTAACCAGTGCTAATCAAGCTTAACTTTAAAATATTATTTATTTTTAATGCACTTAAAACCTCTAACTTGACGCTAATTTTCTTCTGCCTCTAAGTCTTTATTTGAATACATTTACATACCGAACTAATCACTTGTCATGAAACAGGAAAAATATTAATGTCAAACGTTCATATATTTAAAGAATTGAAGTTTCTGAAGTAAATCAATAGATAGTACTTGTTATTAAACCTAAATATCTTTTAACAAAGATCATATTATAAGCAAAGATGGATAGTGGCTAGCAGTGGAATCTAGGACGCGCGTTTCGTCCTGTCTGGGACTCGTCAGCTGAATGTGCCTGCATCTCAGAATTGATGTTCACTCTGGGACTCGAACTCAGTACCGTTCGCTTCAAACGCCATCGCGTTACCCACTTAGCTACTGAGTCCTGTTAGCCACCTGCTTGTGCAATGGAGTGAAGTTTAATTCACTGGATATTGTTTTACTTGAATCTTCCCATTGGTGTTTTAGGACTGAAATTGATCAGTCTCTTATTGGCAATGGGAAGATTGAAGTAAAACAATATCAAGTGAATTAAAGATCATATTGTTTTTGTAAATTTTTGAGTATTGACTTTATGTTTTTTTTCCAGTAACACCCATTCATTTTTATATTTTCCCATAAAAATGTTCTCGTTTCAGGATTTTCGTGTTTGTAATATCTCTATAGCTGCCTGGAGTACGTGACTATGTTTGAGTGAAAAAATAGATATTATCAAGTAAACAATAAAAATGAATCCTGAAACATTGATCATGTTTTATGTGGCAAAAGTATTCTTCAGTAATACAGAGATTTGAAGTTTAGACCACATTCTTTGCTCACTAATTAATCATTATTAAATGGTCCATAAAATGTAACAGTGAAATAGAGTAATATTAAATATAATTATTACAACAGAGTGTATAAAGCAATTATTTTAAATGAATTAGTTCAGACAGTTTTGTGTTCTCAAATATAGTCAAGATTTATGTATTCAAAACAAATCAATTAAATTCTTAATATTTCTCAAATTTCAAAATATAGAATAAGTTGACTGTTAAGTCTTACTAGAGATTTCAAACGGATACTTTTATCAGTAACCTGTACTCAAGTCCGTGGATGTTCTATCATATATTCAGTCAGTCAGCTACAACGTAGGACCAGGCACATATGTCTAACTTGACATTTTCTCAGTAAATACATGTAACTTGTTAAAAATAATCAGTCAACTGTGATTAATCTAAGGGGAAATATGTGAATTTCAAAACTATAGGTCATTAATCTTATATTTGAACATTAATTTAATCAAAACAGTTATTCAAACATAAAAAAACATTTAGGAAAATGTAATTCGGTGTACTATATCTACGAAAACTAATTGGCTGGTTATTTATATAAACATTCATTAAATACACATTAGAATAAACATACTGATTTTTGATGATACATAGTAAATTTTGATATGTTAGTCATGTATTTAAGAGTATTCGCCCAATCATGTTCCCAATTCTCTCGATTATATAAGTTTTTTGAATTCTTCAGCCTTTTAAGAATTTCTTTATTTTCTTGAGTTACTCGCTTGACTTCTTTCAGTCTTTGTTCTTCATTTAAGCTAAAATGATCCAATTGAGAAAGAAACAGTTAAACAATAAAATAATAATTTGTACTGTTTGTATTACCATAAACAGATGTATATGTTTAATTGGAATACTATATAAAATATATTAACCTTTTTTCTATATACTGATCATTTTCATTGCCCATAATACCATGTTTCTGAATTTCATGCATCCTCTTCAAAAGACGGTTATTTTCTTCTGTTATTCTTTTGAAATTTTCTTTTTCAATCTAGTCATTAATATTTATTTATTTAATTGTAATTGAATTATTGGTTTCAATTTAGAAAGTAATTTGATAATTAATTTAATTGTTTATTATTTATCTTTAACTATTTATTAAACTACTTACTCTGTCTTTTTTAGAATTTAAATGAATAATCTGAAATGTTTTTGGTGCAGTTGTATCCACTGTCGATTTCATTTTAGCCAACTGGACTCAAATCATATTGAAAGAATCAATAACAATAAAAAAAATATCAACCATATGATTGACAACAAAAGAAAAAGTTATGCAATGACAATATACACAACATTCAATATAAGATAATAGAAAATGCTAAATTTTTTTCCTTATTCTATTATCATAAATTTATTGTAAGGTTAGGTTTTTAAACATTGTAAGTTGAATATTTTATAATCGTTAATTTACACAATTTGAAGTGAAACAATGTTATTATTTCGATAATGTAATAAGAAGATGAAGATTATCAGAACTATGTGATATATTAGCGCAATACATTTCGAACAATCTGATCACACATACACTTGTTAAGAGCATTCATATATAAAAATAAAAGGTCAACTAGACTGGGAACGGGGTAAGAGGAGATAAGGATGATGATAAGAGTAAGAATAATAATGTGAACACAATTCAAAACCCAATCACTCTGGATAATAAGTCAATATTACCAGGGTAGGTTCAAGGTAAGAACAAACTGTTTTTGAACACACAAAGGGGGTTTGAATTTTCGTATGGCTAAGGCTTCAATAAGCCTTAGTGTACGCCCTTTTACACTTTTATACAACACCACAAAAGTCAAGTTTAGATCAGTCTTATGACCTGTTTCAATTATATGTTTAGCAATAGAGGACGACAGATGTTTATCCTCTGCTCTTATTGGGTTACTTGATTGTAGAAATGCTCTTAACAAGTATATGTGTGATCAGATTGTTCGAAATGTATTGCACTAATATATCACTTAGTTCTGATAATCTTCTTCTTATTACATTATCGAATTTATCAAAGGGACTAATTGTTTTAAATGTTATTATTTTTCATATTCACATCATATGTAACATTTTCATATTGTGGTGTGTTACTCATAAGTAGTATGTATCATCAATCGAAAGTGAAATGCCTGGAGAACAAGAACAGAGAATGATTGCTATGGAAGTGAAGGAACACTGAGATCTGAAACGATTGATTGACGTTTGCAAAATTAATAGTCAAGTTTGAGACAATTGATTGAAATTTTGCAAAATAAATATTTACTACATGTTTCTCAGATTTTACTAAGACATCCTGTAATTTTGTATTCAAATACATTTGATTGTCCCCATTTGTGTTCTCGTTCACTACAATATGATTACAGAGTTCATTATGAAGTATTACTAGGTAAATAATACTAAATAAGAACTTTCGTCTAAATTTGAACGAATAGTTTCACAATATTTGGGCGCCGAGTTAATTTGAGACATTAAAAAGAAGAATATATTTGTAAAATCTCAGCGAATGAATTTTAAGTAAATCCAACGTTTCGCCTGGCAATCTGGTCCAAGCTTTTTCAAGGAAAATATAACCAAACAACAAAATTATCGAATATAAATAGGTACATGGTTCTTCGGTTTACTGTATACTGAATAAGTCATCCAATCAACGTGAAGGATTTTTTATAAATAGGTAATTGCATTAATGTGTAAGAGACATGTTTATATGAAAACAAATGATACTATTTCAATAAATTATTATTATTATTATTATTATTAGCTTTATTCAATATTATAATTTTGGTACAATATAGAATTCTCAGCTCAAAGTATTTCAACAAGTTTCCGTTTCTTTCTTCTTGGTCGGTCCTGGCGATAAATATTGAGGAAACGCCAGTTAGATGTTAGCACTTCAGTGAATGAACAACTGAATAATGTGCATTCTTTTCGTTGTACATTGCCAGCAACCATATTGTCTCTTATTGAGTTTTCTGTAACTTTGACAACGAAAGGTTGTACACTTTTCAGAAACGCAGCAGAATAGGTTATGCGATTAATAAACATAATGATATATTAAAACAAACAACAATGGATAACTTGTTGAAATATCTAGATGGCAGGAACAGGTAGCCCAGATGCTCAAGCAGGCCGCCCTAGTTATGATATACCTAACGAACTAGCTATCAAATTTGTGAAATTTTGTCAATCATAAACATTTGATAACATTCTGATTTTGGTTTTATTATTCAAAAATACAAAACAATATTCACCTGAGTTTTCACGGGAAAACCAATCGAATCTTAACAATGAATGATATGCTAACTAACGATATTAAATTGATCAGAAATATTTAATAAAATTAACACTATTTTTATTTACTATTAAGTTTTCTATGCTTTTGAAATGAGAAAAAGTTATGTGTTGGCATGTGTAGATTAGCGATTGCCCGTAATATTCAAGTAGTACAATACATATTTTTATTTTAAACCTGATTTTATGTGTATAACTTTTGACTTTATCTTCCTTTCTTCTAGCATTTTCATTTTCTTATTCAATGTAGTTTTCTGTATTTTCAAAATATTGTTCCTTTTTAGCTTTTAATAAAGTCTACATTTAATCCACTAGACTGTTTTCGTAAAAATCTTATATATAGTTATAATTCTATACTTTAATATGAAAATGGATTTACTGCTAAAATGAAATCTAACATAAAAAAAATTAATCTTGGATTAAAAATCGTCGAAATTTATTTGAGTGTCGTGTTTTGTGTCACCCATACAAAATTTAGAACGTTTAGGGTCATTTAGATTCTCGCAACACAGAATAACTTTGTCTAGACATAGATTGAAGAACAGTTAGGACTATTTTAGCATATAAATCATCAGCAATGCGACCTTTCCAGAGATAGAACCCATGAAATGCATGTATCTCAATGAGTCTCTAGCTTTTAGACTACTGATTTGGCATATAATGACTCACAATTCTAATTTCAGGCCATGCGCGATATTGCACGACTATCGTCCGATAGCGTTGACGAATATTTCCACTGATCATGGCCTCTCAATAGAATTCCGAGAATCACCTCTTGAAGTCGCTTATAAGTAATCACACCAAGACTATTAATATAAGTTAGGAAATTGATTCTTGCTCACTAGGTCAATTTCAAAGGGTTACATGAGTATGACCGTCTACATAACACCACTTTATAATTTTTGAACCGACAGAATATGAAAATCTAATATTAGCGAAATACAATCATTTTGATTTTGCAGGTGTACATAAAGATTTGACTTGTCAAAACGATGTACTTTATAGTTTATCGATTTAACTAATTTTATTATTACGGTTGTTGAGTTTGATATTTATAAATGACACTACATTCTCCAAAGTTCCATATTCTTTTAGTTTTTGGCTACTTAATTTGCTAATTAAACTTATCATACTTGAAATCGTACTATGATGTAGAACGAACAAAAGCCAACTTTTATCAAAAAACCAGGAAGTTTCATTGTATACGTACTGAACATATCCTAGAATGCTGTATACAAGACTTCAATGGATTAGTAAACATTCGTTCTTCATCTTCATCCCTTTAATTTTTTGTAGTTATTCGTAAATAGATGACTACGTGAAAGTGAACCAACTTTGCTTTACCAATCAAATATTAGGACAAGTTATATTAAAAGTTGTTAGTTAATTCAAATAGTAGATTAAAACTGATTACAATTATAAAACTCCAAAAATAGTGAAGGGAATGGACCACAGTTTCGCATGTATAAGGACTTGGACTTTTTAGGTTTATTGTAATTTCTTATTACCCACAAATCTATTTAGTGTGAAAAAATATCTCAACGCTTGTGTGAAGATCATTGAACCATGTAATTAGAGTGCGCTGTCCTTTCGGAAGCAGGATACACTGGTGACTGAAGAGGATATTCTAGCTCTTTAAGGCAACCATCAGTAAGATGTTTTGGTTTCGTTAAATATTTTGTGAAGGTAGCTGCACATCACGTATAAATCCTCAAAGATACCTTAATTTATAGATAAAGATTTTTCGAATATAAATGAACTAGTTTATCTTCTCAACAGTCTCAAATACATTATTTCTCTTCCCCCACCTCAAAAAACCCAATTACTACCTATCTAAACAAAAAATAAAAGACGAGAAAACAATTTTTACTTTTGAAAGGGCGCAGTTTCATGGACCCACATAACTCACAAATGGCATTTCCAAGGGTTGAATTGATATACGGGTCACATATCTGTTTTGTATTTTCGGAAAGGTAGTAAAAGGAAAGCATATTATATATATGTATAAAAACCCCTACATAATGCATCAAGGTGTCTGTCTATTCTCAGTGATACTGAAACCGTTGGCTCTCACGATTCTCCAAAGATTGCACAAAAGTAAACATCTGACTTGCTAGTTAGAGTTCGGTTTGGTTTCACACCTCGTGCTCACCGATCATATCTTTATTCCAAATCAAATGCTAGAGCTCTATTAAACTCATTTCAGGCCCACTTTCACTATATCTCCTGAAAGAAATAACATTGATTTGTTAAAATTCATCGTTCTCTTGAATTACTCGTCGAATGTGATAATTGTCCAAAATCATCATAGAAGTTATAAAGGATTTTCAAATCACCCATTTACTCTAACATTCTGATGTCACGGACATTCTGGAAACATCAATGAAGGATATACGTCATATCTCAAAGTTCTTGATCAAAATAAATTGGTAGTTAAGCATAACTGCAGTTCGTGAATTACATAAAGTGATCATAAACCCGCACGTATACTGATTTGTTAACAACAAATGAAATCTAAATCTGATAGACACTTACATTTTGGATAAATACTAACTATGTATGTTTTGTGTTAAGTATTTTGTATGCTTTTTGTTAAATCAAACGACTCATATTTTGCTGACCGTTGGCTATCATTTGATATTCATTCATCGTGAGCCATTGAATCAATAATTTAGATTTGCTATTAGCTATCAAGTCAAGCGATAGACCACACATATCACAACTCATACAAATCTTCTTCCGTTATAATAGTTAAACATTCATTCAGCCACTCTGTTAACTCGATAACTATGGATAATGACAATAAATAAACATTTAATAAAAAACTTACCGCCTTTAAATGGGAATCCTGGTATCTTTTGTCAAATTTATATTGAAGGGGTTTATTTTGACAAGGCTTCACCGAATAATGTAGGTTATACATAGTAGTATGTTCAGCAGCAGTGAAGGAAACAGACTACAATGAGTAGAAGACCTAATAAATTACATGAGAGAAAGTTATGAAATATA